ATTTTTGAGTGAATTTTCACTTATAAGTGTACTCAAACGTGACGTCATGCGACTTTTCAAATCAATATATCTCTGCAATGTTTATATTATGTGAGAAAAGAAAAATACGTGTCCAATACTTTTTGATAATCTACCTGATAATCGAAGAAAAAAAAATTAGTCATCATCCCTATTAAAGAGAGTGGATCGATCCAAACGCCTTCTGTCGCGATACGCAGGTGAAAAGCACAGAAATATCCTGTTTACCGATGAAAACAATTTTCACGATTGAAGAACACTACAATAAGCAAAATGATATAGTGTACGATCACAGTTCTAAAGAAGCTGCTCAAGTGGTCGGAAAGGTACAACGTGGTCATCGTCCTTATAATAATAATAATAAATATTTCCAACACTCACACCAATTAGCCTAGCCCCAAGCTAAGCACTATAAGGCTTGTGTTATGGGATACTAGGGTAACGGATAGAATACATATACTGTACATATATAAGTATATTTATACAGAAATACATATTAAACATCCATGACTGGAGTACAAATGCTCGTATTCATCACACAAACATCTGCCCCCACCGGGACTCGAACCCGGGACCTCTCGAGTCGGCGACACCATGAAACCCGGCATACAAACCACTCGGCCAAGGAGGTCGTCAAATAATGTCGTGCGTGTCTTATGAAAGAGTCCAAAACTACATTTTTGTGAGAAAGGAGTGAAAACTTCAGCCAAAGTTTATCAAGATAGAGTCTCGGATCATGTTGTGTTATGTATGAACAATTTTCCTTACGAGCATAAAAGTTGTCATGACAGTGGTAATAGTTATCTCCGGTATAAATATGCTTCTGATCTGTGACCTTACCATTAGCGCAACGCTGCTATAATAATGCACACTACATGATATATTAATATGACCATACTGTCACGCTAGCTTTTATAAGTACGCTGTTTGACAGCAGTCGTTAAAGGTCAAGTGTTTATAAATAATTATAAAAAATGTTTTAAAGATAGCCTTATTGACAGTTTTTCTTTAAACACAAACAGTATCCAGGAAAGTCTGCAAGTACGGATATTGCCACGAATTTTTCGAATCTTGCATTAAATTTTTTATAGGTTTACTAGCTGTCCCAGCGAACTTCGTACCGCCATAAAAAAAAAGGGATTGGTGGTAGAAGGGTGAAAATTTAGGGCTGTACGTATTTTTGTATGATGTATCATAAAAAAATAAAAAAAAATATCTAAAATTGAAAAAAAAATTAGGGGTGGATTACCCTTAACATTTAGGGGGATGAAAAATAGATGTTGTCCGATTCTCAGACCTACCCAATACGCACACAAAATTTCATGAGAATCGGGAAAGCCGTTTCGGAGGAGTTTAACCACAAACACCGCGACACGAGAATTTTATATATAAGATTTAGCATAAAAATGATGGTTAATAATAGTTTAAGTTTCATGTCATATTTGTAGACTTTAAGAGAGATAGGACATAGCGGATTTCCCGCTCAAATTGAAGTGCCCGTCTGGGAAAGTTATCCCCACCTTTCACAAGATCACAGTAAAATAACAGTACCTTTTAGTGATGTTCTGTTTCTGTCTGTGAGGTTCCAGGGCTCCACTGGGTAGACGCGGAAAAATCCCTAAACGGGGATCCCGCGGCTTCGCGCTAAGAGGGTATTCGCAAGGGTTTTTAGCGTTTATTATGCCGTAAAGCGCCCGTAAGAGTTACGGGGTCCTCAGTGGGTAGCCACTGCTGGGGCTTGTAAGTAGGGATGCATTTTGAAATATCGATATTATATCGATATTTATATCGAAGTCAGGAAAATATCGATATCCGATATATCGACCATTTTAACTCGATATTATCGATATATCGATATTTTTTTCTTTTTTTTTTATTGACATTAGAATACGGGCTGAGTGTGACACATTCATATGTTTGTTGGCGAGTTTCTCGCAAAATGCATTGAGCCAGCTTTTTCTTTAAACACGCTTGATGAAATCGCGCCAAGCAGGATTTTTTTTGGCTCGCACTGTTTATGTTTCAGCCACGACAGGAAACCAAAAAATTAAAATTATTATCCTGATCAGATCACTCACATTTGTTAGCACGAATGCGCCAACCCGCATATGTGGGATGACATTTGCGAATGCCTTTACTAAGTTTTCACTACACTCCTGCTTTTCTAAGCTATGTCGGTTTTTTAGCGCACATCAAATAAGCAAATTGCTTAGTCTCCCACACATCAGGGGCGTGCCCATGGCTTCAGAATAGGGTAAGCCCAAAGCTTCAAAAATTACTATACCTATCTTACTTTCTTGACTTGGCGAGCTTAAAAATTTACGATTTGTATAAGATTCTTAATTTTATTTTGTGTTATATTACAATGATATTTAATTTCAATTAATCAGTAGTTGATAATTATCTAGAAAGAGAGGCAAGGATTTTATTTAAGTACATGAGTTACCATTAGGTATACGATTGTACCTATATACGTTGGTGTCGATTCTGGCATGATTATCTAAACTTAAAACTAAATTTAACATCAGTCTCTCCTTGTCATTCTGTATAGAGAATGACAAGGATACACTGTTGTCAAATTTAATTTTAGGTTGAGAGAATCATGCCAGAATCCACACCAGTTTAGTATATTTCTTGGGGTTCAAGATTTTTTTAATACATCTATAAGCTCTTGCGATTTCAAAGCAATAGTTATTTCGATATTAATCAATTTAGATAGTCATAGCAGGTAAATTAATTGATATTATTGTGTTTAAATTTAGTCTACGAAATATCGATATTTTGGAATTTCCGATATCGATAATATCGATATCAGTGAATTTTAAATATCGATATATATATCGATATTTTGGTCTCGATATTATCGATATTATCGATATTCCGATATATCGTTGCAACCCTACTTGTAAGGCTTGCGGGAGCCAGGTGTGAGGTCCGATCGGCGGTGTGCCTCTTAAAGGCGCCGTCGTCTGTAAACAGTATTTTTTGCCTGCGTATAAAAAAAGGGCTGGGTCGGGGAGCGAGAGTGCGAATGGTAGTTTTGCTATCGCAAGTGTCAATTTTAATTTATTGTTACTTCAAAGCAAAGGATGCTTTCAAGTAATGATTTTTTTTAAGTCTTTTTTTTGTGGCAGGGCCTTGCCAGAATAACAGCACTGGTGCGACACAATGTCGCATCAGCTGATGCTGAGGCAGGGCCCTGGTTAGCCCTGAGATTTTTGAACTTGTATCTGTAAATGTTTAAATGAGGGATAATAAAATATATTCTATTCTAAAGGCTATGGGCGTCGTACACTACGTTAACCGAGTCGTGGTATCCACTCAAGAACTTTCCGGCTCCAACGGCCATCAGTAAACAGTAAACGTAGTGTAGGACGCCCTGAGATAAGGTGGGAAGATGATATTCGTAAGCTGGCTGGAGTGGGCTGGATGAGAGTGGCAGAAAATCGGGAGCAGTGGCGTGCATTAGGGGAGACCTATGTCCAGCAGTGGACGAACATGGGTTGATGATGGTGATGAAAGGCTATGGTGGCCGTTTACTATCAGGCGGACCGTACCCTTGTTTGCTACCCTTTTAACATAATTAATCTAGCTGGTTAATTTTCGCAGGTTCCAAATTGTGAGGTAGGAATCGGTGTATCAACGTTTACGTCCATAATCACGTGTGATTCCACGTGATACAACCTTACATGTGTTATTCCATCGCTCCTGCTCCACATCTACATGTAATCTGTTATTTTAATTGACCAAGCTAGAAACTTACTTTGCCAACTGTACTTGTGTACCGTGATTGTAGCAAGGAATATAACACGTCGATTATAAGAATGCGTCTAATCCGTACGGAGGAGCTCGATGGCGCAGGGGGCTAACGCGTTCGGCTGCGATCGTTGAAGTTAAGCAACTTTCGTTGTGGTCGGTTATTGGATGGGTGACCAAAAATTTACTATCTCTAGCTTCTCCGTGCTTCGGAAGGTACGTTAAGCCGTTGGTCCCGGCTGCATTTGCAGTCGTTAGCACACACCAATCCGCACTGGGCCCGCGTGGTGGGTCATGGCCCAATCTCCCTATTCCATCCATAGGGAAGGCCTATGCCCCAGCAGTGGGGACATTAATAGGCTGATGATGATGAATCCGTACGACGCCCACCGCTGACCATAGGCCTAGGATACACCATTAAATTACTATGATATTTACAGTGATCTAGCAGAATCTACTTCCAGTCCCAATAGGAATATGCATGTTATTCAAATGTCCAGTCACACTCAATGTAAGGTGTCATAGTTCTTCATCACAAGGTTGCTTTTGGGTACGTCTGCACGGCATCGGCGTACGCGCAGGTCCTGTACGACTTGTACTGCCTAGAGCCGCCCATTCTAAAGCGTTGTTCGTGCGTTATTTTCTTTTTCCTTAGAATGGGACAGATACAATCTGCGCTCTTAAATGTCCGCACGACCTTGCTCTTTGAGGGATAGGTGGTCAACGGAAAAACGACCTAATATGCTCACTTTATCCATTTGATATGCCTATCTCTGCTAATATCCGCACATCATCATCTCAGCCCTACGACGCCCAATGCTGAGCATAGGCGTCCCCCAATGATCTCCTCATCGATCGGTCCTGTGCCACGCGCATCCATCGGCTTCCCGCAATCTTCACCAGTTCGTCGATCCACCTGGTGGGGGGTCTTCCTACCGAGCTTCGTCCGGTGCGTGGTCGCCATTCGAGAACCTTTCCTCCCCAACGGCCATCGGTTCTCCTCGCTGTGTCCCGCCAACTGTCACTTCAGCTGAGCAATCTTTCGAGCGATGTCGGTTACTTTAGTTCTCCTGCGGATTTCCTCATTTCTGATTCTGTCACGCAGGGAGATATCAAGCATCGCTCTCTCCATTGCCCGCTGTGCGACCTTGAGCCTTCTTAAGAGACCCGTCCGCGCATATTTGAATGTAAAAAGGTTATAATGTTTCGTTTGTCGAATGTTCCAGAACAAGCAGGCGTACTTCCCGATATTCGGCGAGCAGCACCCGCGGCCGCCCCGATCGCGGCCCAAGGACGCGCAGGGCACCGTCCGCGCCTGCCCCGCTTGCCACCACCATCTGCTGCAGCAGTGGAACACCCACCAGGTGAGTTATCAGGGAATTAATGTCTCCACAGGTGGAGCACATTACTTGTATATAGATGGACATGTGGTGGCGACATCTACACGCCCCACATATTATAACCAACATGGAGGAAGTTATCGCTCCCCTCGTCAAGAGATGGCGCTACCGTCGCTGCACTCATAAAGTATGGAAGCCTACATCGCGCAAGAGAAATTTGGAGGCTAACTCTACATCTCTTATCTATTAGACAAGTCCGTCCGTCCGTCCGTGGTGCTGTTTCAGCGGCCAAACCGTAAGAGATAGATAAAGAGAATGTTTAAGTTATAAGTTGAGAATAGTCTGATAAGACTACAAACCGGATGTGAGTAACGTAGCACTTCCGGTTTTCGAGAAATCACGTGATTTCTATTTCAAACGAAACCACACAAAATCTCCGAAGACTCAATTAAGTTTTTTGTTTTTTTTGGTGAACATTTGGTTCACTGGTTTGCTAGTATTATGTAATGTCCGACCGATATCAGTCGGGCTGCGGCTTGCGAGCTAACATCACCGAGTTCGAAGGGAGATCTTCCTATTCGACCTTCCATAGACACGAAGCCTGCCCCGACTGACATCATTATCTGCTGTGTGAAAATATTTTCACAAAGTGTGTAATCGCTTCGGGTGACTACGTCGTTATAATGTAAATATTTGTCACTTAATCTCAACTCAAAAGTATCAAATGATTTAACAATTAAGTATCCCTACTATTAAAGCCTTAAATAATCATTAACTTAAACAAAACTTTTAAATATATTTTGTAATAAAGTTTTGCTGCAGAACTCTGCGAAAATCCCATAGTGTGAATATATATAAATATTTGTTTGTATATTAACATAATACTATCAAGGTTTACTGTTGCATGACGTCTGCTTGCGTGATCTGTGTATAAATCGTGAATTCGGTGTCAATATTCGACACTGGTTAGTTTATTAAGTGCTTTTGTGGTACGACCATTTCCGAGACTAGATCCTTTTAACACGTGTGCACTTATTTTTAGTGATGATATTTTTGTAACTTACATCATGATAAGACAAAGCTATTCAGATAAATCATAATAATTCAAATTGTTATAGAATCGTATAAATAAAGCTTTCATCATATACTAGCGGCCCGCCCTCGCTTCGCTTCGGTGTAGAGTCGGTTTAAAATTGGCAAAGTTTCAAACAAACTTTCATTCCCTATTTTATCCCCTTGGGGGTAGAATTGATCAAAATCCTTTCTTAGCGGATGCCTGCGTCATAACATCTACCTGCATGCCAAATTTCAGCCCGATCCGTCCAGTGGTTTAGGCTGTGCGTTGATAAATCACTATGTCAGTCAGTTTGAGTTTTATATATATAGATAGAGATACCGTTTTAATATTTATCATTATATACCGTATTAACTTCACGGAACCGGCCCAAAAAATATCTACTACATATGGTAGATACGTATGATATCTATATGTTTTGCACATATTTTTAGCAGATAACGAGAAAAAAATGTATATTAATTTGTCGCGCATATAAAACACTATAGTATCGCGTGTTCTATGCAATACCTTACTCGGTATATATTAACTGATATATGCAATAAACAATAGCACAAGTTACCCAATATTTAGATAATGTGTTCATAATGATGCACATTTAAAATTGCGTTTGTGACCTTTATTCACCCACTGTAACCACGTGCCATCGCGATGCATCCGTTAATTAAGAATTGCGACTTAATTATTTTAATTACTTTGTTAAAAAAAAATAGAAATTGGTTTTGCTATCGACATTAATTACATTATTAATAGCTATATTTATATCTGTTATTCGAGAAGCTTGATAGAGCGGGTGGTTAGCGCGTTCGGCTGCGATCGTTGAAATGAAGCAACTTTCGCAGTGGTCGGTCATTGGATGGGTGACCAGAAATCTTCTATCTCGACTTCCTCCGTCCCGGCTGCATCTGCAGTCGTTAGCACCCGCTAATCCGCGCTGGGACCGCGTGGTGGGTCATGACCCAATCTCCCTATTCCATTCATAGGGAAGGCCTGTGCCCCAGCAGTGGGGTCATTAATAGGCTCATGATAATAATGATTGGTACTAAATGCGCTCAAATTAGCTTTCGATGTTTAAACTAAAAGTTTCCCCGCTGGTGTCGTGTGAGGCGGGTCGTTACGTTCCCTAAAATATGGTTGAGCGAAGCGATGGCTGGTTCATGCGTCATGCTCGTGAACGGGTGCTACCAGCGGAGATAGTCGCCCTAACTACTTTGATACTGAAGATGTTAATATGTAGTTACACATAACATAAATAACACTATTTGTATTTATACTGTATGACATAGCAATCAATTCTGATTGAAAATGCAGGTAAACAATTAATGTATATTTCACATTATGTAATGAAAGGTGACTTCATAGATCAACTCTGAAGGCATTTTTCAACTTGACGACTCTGTAAATAATAAAACAGGGAGAAAAAAAACATCCTTGCCGAGTTTCTTCTCAGTACAAGGTCTCCCGCCGTAGTAGATTTACGAACCGAAGGCGTAGCTTCAAGACATTCATTCATGTGTGCTTGTAACAGCCTAAACTAAATAAATGATTATGTTTATGAACTCGGTAATAAATTTCTTCAGAGGAGCACGCGCGCTAGCTTACCTTGCCACCTACTTACTGTGGCCACTATTCCTACACGAACAAAGAAATCTGGTGACTCATTTCTTTGTCGTACTATTCGTAAGTGGAATTCTTTGCCCGCGCACGTGTTCTTTCTTTCCTACAATGTGGGGTATTTTAAGAGAAGCGTGAAGAAGCATTTCTGCAGGCCGGCCAGGTGAGCATGATTGGTGTGGCAGTTTATAACTGCTGTACCAGCTAGCTTCGCGTTTGGACTTTATCAACACTTAACATCAGGTGGGGTAGAGTGGGATTTGCCTACCTGGCTATAAAAAAAACGACGGATTGCACTCCGAGAGTGCCGGCAGAAGTGAAAACTTGAATATTAACGTTGTGAATTTTTGATATTTTGGAATTGTTAGGGAATAATTTTGCACGAATTGCTTTAATTATCAGTATAAAAGTGCTATCATGTATGTGGTAGAATACAATATTTATTTATTGCCCTATCGCACACAAACATGACAATTTATATTACACTAAAAAAGTTTATCTCAAAAAATCAACATACATGAATCACGTTTAAGCGAAGTTAGCGACATCTATTGTAAATAAATCAACTTACATGAATCACATTTAAGCGCACCTAGCGACATCTATTGTAAAAAAATATGTTTCGTCCAATATATTGAAAGTCAACAACCTTTCCAATTTTATTGTGTCATGATGCGATCAGCCCACGTGTTTAACCTGACGCGAGTTTAACATTTTATACCCATACAAAAAAAGTGTACAACGCAGCTAAAGAAGTTTTTACTTTAAAAATATCAAGGTGCGTGTCTATAGACGCTAGAGGATAGCTTGATTGGCGATTTTTGACACGCATAAAAGAGTTTGTAGAAGACGATAAATTTGTATTTGCAAGGAATGTACTTTCGATGGAAATAATACTAATTTCGAAAGCTAATTTTTAGCGCATTTTAGTACAAAAGCTTTTTGCCACGCAGGTGTGGGATTGACGTAAGCGTCAGTGTTGCATAGCTTTTTTCAAAATATTATGAACATGATTTTTTTTTCATAGAGAGGTCCGACAAATGACTCCACCCCACCTGATGTTAAGTGATGGTGAAGTCCAGACGTGAAGATAGCTGGTAAAGCAGTTCTTTCTGCCACAACAGCCATCCTTATAAAGTCTTTACTAAAGAAAGTTTACTAGAAAAAAGTCTGGTCCGCGTGGATTTTTTTCTAGTAAATTTTTCTTTAGATTTAAACATCTAGCAGTTAAATGCTTAAAATATAAATAAAATCATAAGTCTTACTAGATAAAACTAGTTTTTTACGGGTTAATGCCATGGACGTATAAAAAAAGGCGGACAGAGTCCCGGTAAACAACAAACTGTGTCGCTCAGAGTCGGCCAGGTCGCTATACGTACAAGCCGGCACACACACATTCACACCATAGTCAGCCATTATGCGTGCAAACGTCAAAGCAGCCGACACGTTACGTGGAGATAAAAATAAGTTAAACAAGATGTCTTGCGTGGTAAAATGGTGTAAAAACCGTAGTGACCGAAAGAAAAAAAATCCAGGAATCACGTTTCATAGGCAAATGAATTATTTAATCACTTTTTTTCAGTTTTTAGAAATCGAAATCAATTTTCATTCTAAGGACAAAATGATTAGTCTAAAGCCCAGTGTTGCCAATGTTCATGTAACCATATTACCTAAAATATGGGAAATTGGGTTGACATTAACTTCAATCTATTATTTATTATTCTTTTTTATCAGATTTCCTAAAGAAAATGTAGTATGGAGAAATTACTGGAAAATGAATGATTTCCAAACAATTAAGTAGTAGTGTCATTTTTAGTCTTCATTTTGAAGCTCAAGACTTATATACAACTAAAGGAGGACTCCGGCGTGTTATTACGTATGCATTACCTCAAAAGGTTGATTAAATTTTTTAACCGATTTCGAAAAGAAAAAGGTTCGCAATGCGTCATATTTGTTTTTTTTTATTGTTGTTCGCGCAGATCTCCGAGATTCGTGGACCGTTTATGATGATTCTTTTTTTGTTTTAATCAGTTTACTAGCGTGATGGCTGCATATTAATTTACTGGAGATCTGAAGAGTACTTTCGGAGGAAAACAATGGGTCTCCTCAATTACAAACAGTACTCAATGGGTGTTAGTTTATTTTAAGAAATATGAAAGAGAATGTAGGCCAGGCCATCTATATTTAGTTGATTTACCCAATATTGAGAAAATTCGATACATTCTAGAATTTCTAATGAGTCCCGACTGTTAAAATAACTTTGTTCCTTATAAAACAGAATTCTAGACTACTGGACTTGTTTTTTTCTTTTTAGTACATTTTTTTTTATTTTCGACATTTTAATTTCATTATTTTTAATTACACGAGTTGTATATTTTCTAAATATTATTTTAAAACCCTTCACTTTGATACCTCGCTTGACGGGTTATAAAAATACTTATACTTTTTTTTCAAAATGTTTCATATTGGCGCATAAAATCTGTTATTTTGATTTTTTGAAAATTTTATATACCGAGTGCCACTCACACAATCACGACAAATCAAATGACACCTCGCATGTCAAAATCCGTCAAGACGTTCAGGCTGTAGGGCGTGCCAAATTATTGGACATACATACATACATGCATACATACGCTCGAAAACCATTATCCTCCGCAGTCGGGCAAAAAGTAAAATTTTGAACAATCAAAATATTTTCATGTTTTTACTGTGTTTTATTGGTAAAAAATTGGCTAACCTAGCAACCCAACAATTCACTCACTCATCAATAGCCGCCGCCATTACGGTGCCTCAGTATTGTCTTAGCCGAAACTCTGTCCGCCTTTTTTTATACGTCCTTGGTTAATGCACGAACTTTATTTATTTAGCTTTTCAGGTTTGCATCGTCAGAATAATGAATGAATCTTTATTAGATGTTCGAAAAGCGTTTCAAGCGTTTGTTCGTAAATCGAAGGAGGGTGGACTATGTACCGAAACTTGAAAGATTAAATACCGCAGACTTGTCTGTACTTGTCGTCTAGACAAAATATCATGGATGATGTCATCTATTGGAGTGTTGCTCAATCAATAGTTGGAATCATGCATGGCTTCAAACTTTTCAAGATCTTTAGATTGCATGAAAAATTACGAATGAATTCCTAAACAGATTACCAACCAGTGTTGCCAGGTCCGAGTTTTAAAAATCGGGAGGCGTTATAGAAAAAAACAGTAGATGTATGGAAACATCAACAAGAAAAACAGTAGATGCATAGGCGTACTTTTTCCACACGTTTGCCCCCCCCCCTAGAATTGGTAAATCAAATCAAGATAAAGACCAGTAACGAATGTGTTTCTGTGGCTTCTGCCGCCCCTCAAAGCTATTTTTTGAGGTTTCTTTACATTTAATTTTATAATTATTAAGGTTATTTACATTATTTATGACGAAAAATGCAACTCAACATGCAATTTAAAAAAGAAAATCGTATTCTAAAAAAAATAGGAGATTCATGTAGAAAAACAGTAGAACAGGAGAAATTTCGGAAAAACAGGAGATCTCCTGTAAAATCCGGAGACCTGGCAACACTGTTACCAACTTTCTTCAACTTATATATGTATCTTCGTTATTGTTTATAACAGAGATAATCAAATCAATCGGCTTTTAAAAAAAAAAAATATGACCTCCGAGGCCGAGTGGTTTGTACGCCGGATTTCATAGTGTCGCCGACTCGAGAGGTCCCGGGTTCGAATCTCGGTGGGGGCAGATGTTCGTGTGATGAATACGATGAACAGCAGAATAAATACATATTTCCAACACTCACACCAATTAGCCTAGCCCCAAAGGCTTGTGTTATATATAAGTATATTAATATAGAAATACATATTAAACATCCATGACTGGAGTACAAATGCTCGTATTCATCACACAAACATCTGCCCCCACCGGAATTTGAACCCGGGACCTCTCGAGTTTGCAACGCATTGAAACCCGGCGTACAAACCACTCGGCCACGGTGGTCGTCAAATTGTGTGGAACTACATTTTGCCGCAGTTCGCAATTCATTATTATTTCCAATTCGTTGTCTAAAACATTTACTAAGGCACTGCGGTAAGGGCAAACTACATCAAAAAATTACCCCTGTATCGAATCAAAGCTCTCATTATATTATATATAATCGAATTTCTCATTATATTTTACTGACAAACAAGAACTTGATTATCTGTGTCTTATTAATGGAATATTATGTTTGTGTTCCATAATAATAATAATCACTTATTTCAGATAAACATCCATAGCAAATATATTTGTTTTTAACATGGTTCTTCCGTAACTATCTATTAAAGTCGAACAATAAACAAGTTTACAATATTACGTGGATGAGAGACTCCTTATCTAATAATAACAATATACTGATAAATAAAGTTGACGGAAATTACTTGGATAAAATAAAAACCGGTCAAGTGCGTGTCGTGCCACGCGCAGTGTTGGGTTCCGTTTTTTTTTAAACACAACAATAAAAGATAAGATAAGATAAAAACTCTTTATTGCACAACACAGTAACAAAACAAGCAGATACAAAAAAAAATGGATGCGTGTAACTTATGTACGCGCGTGAGAAGTTATACTTCTTTAGCATCATTAAAAATATTTTTTAATTGCATGCAAATAATTAATAATTACAATAAAATAATAAAAGGACTGGAAAAGGATAGTTAACACAGTCAATTAAGTTCAGTTTTAATTTGAAAAATTAAATAAATATTCAAAATATTCAATTAAAATCACTACTGAATTTAAGTTATTAGTCCATATGTAATTAGCACTTGTAAGTAACTAAAACACGTTGTGTCTATATAGAAACTAGAAACATGTGGATAAATATTATAAATATGAAAACAGTGATCAGAGGCGACGAGCGTGCCAACATTGTTTTTGACAACGCGATCATCTTATGGAGCTCCGTGGATCGTTCAAAGTACCTTTCGAACAGATGTCTAATAATGGTGGATTATTAACCACTTAGTGGTTAATAATCCACCATTATTAGACACTAACATTCATAACGCGCCCGCGGCCAACTTCATGGTGTTACTATTGTGTTACAGTGATGCGCGCGCATCTTAAAATTTCACTCATCATTTTTTCATAACGCGACCGCGGCTAACTTCATTATGTTACTTTTGTGTTACAGTGATGCGCGCGCATCTTAAAATTTCACTCTCATAATTTTTTCATAACGCGGCTAAAGAAGTATAACTTCAACAAGTAGAAAAATACAAAATTGCACAATGGGCGGTCTTATCGCGAATGAGCGATTTCTTCCAGACAACCCAATGAGCTGGAAATAAAATAAGGTAAGCGAGTAAGGGAGGTTGTGCGGAACACAAGGCAAAAGTTTTCCTGATAATTAGATAAGAAGAAGACGAAAAGGGGGAAAAAAATTAAAAGAAAAATACAATACAATAAGATAAATTTAAATATATAGGTAAACATAAATACTCAGATACTTCACAACGCTACCGAAACCGGTAAGTTCTAATGCAAGATTTATGAAAAATTAAGTTCCTCCGACAAAAAGTGCTCCTTAACTAGAGACGTAAAACAGTCTAAAGTTTGGGCACGCCCTATCTTTTCGGGCAGGGAATTCCAGAGTTGGATAGCATGTACTGTAAAAGAATGGCTATACGCCTTGGAAAAGTTAGGAGGAGTGAAAAGAAGAAGATTGTTAGATGAACGAAGTGGAAGATTATGGGAGGAAGAAAGAAACTGAAAACGTTCTTTGAGGTAAACAGGAGTTTTTGGATTGAACAGTGCTGAGAAAAGTATGGATAATACATGTAGATCACGGCGACGACGAATGGGAAGCCACTTCACACCACAAAATTAGCCTAGCCCCAAAGTAATCACTGTAGGCTTGTGATATGAGATACTAGGGTAACGGATAGAATACATGTACTGATACAGTCCATATATAACTATATTTACATAGAAATACATATTGAACATCCATGATTGAAGTACAAATGCTCGTATTCATCACACAAACATCTGCCCCCACCGGGAATTGAACCCAGAACCTCTCGAGTCGGTGACATCATGAAACCCGGCGTACAAACCACTCGGCCACGGAGGTCGTCATAATCGCCCTGCCCGTCGTTACCACAATATATGACAGGAGTCATTGAATGTTTCAAAGTGCTGCAACCATTATAATTTTCCTTGAATGTTTTTGAAAACCACTATTATCATGAATATTTCAAAATTTTCAGGCTTTTAGTGGGGGAGGCGGGGTATAATGTTATGCATTAGTGTAATTACTCAGCTGCCATTTTATTTTCATCGCCCAGGCGGGTCGTTAGTACTTGAATCGTATAATTTTAAACGTAATACTTAGCATTTCAAGAAAACTAGTTTTTTTATTAAGTATAATTCACAGATAAATTACATAAAAGGCATAAAAAACTAGGAAACGTACAGTGCTATAAATAGATGAATTTGTTGGTAGGTACATCATTATTTGCTTTTTAAGTTTACACAGATGGTTCGAAGTAGTCTCTGTCGTAGCTGCACCAACTTCACTTTATGAAAATTTAATGTTTTCCGAACGATTGTTAAAATTTAACTTTTAAATCGATAACTGATTCATAATACGATTTAATCCTTAGGGAACGGTGTACATCTCAGCTCCAGCTTATATTAAGATATGTTACGAAAAAAATACCACATTTGCATAATATTCACGTTTGACATAATTCTTAGTCTATCAAACAACTATGCGGCAAACTGTTGAATTATTCATCATCACACAGCCACTGCCACATTATTACCATAACTATTTACACCCACGTAATGCACCAATAAAAATCCGCTTCATGCCATGACCTAAGGCTTAGCACTTAATATATTCATACATAATCGTGGCGGTGTATGATGACGTTGCATACGCCACCCGCCACTTTCACAATAATGTCGTCCGAGTAAAGTAAACATTCGTGCTCGAACTATTTGACAATGTACTTATTGTTATCAAACAGAGAAAAGTCTCCTATTGACCCAAAAATACTATCACCGCCAGGGTTGGATTTTGTACTATAATTATAGTATTTACTGGCAAACCAGTGAACCAAACGTTCACCAAAAAAAAAATATATTTAATTAATTGAGAACTTCGGAGATTTTGTGTGGTTTCGTTTGAAATAGAAATCATGTGATTTCTCGAAAACCGGAAATGCTACGTTACTCACATCCGGTTTGTAGTCTTATCAGACTATTCTTAACTTATAACTTAAACATTCTCTATATCTATCTCTTACGGTTTGGCCGCTGAAACAGCACCACGGACGGACGGACGGACTTGTCTATTAGATAAGAGATACTATGATTTCGCCCTTTGTACTTTATACTATCCACATCTCAGGATAGTACGCTTATACTATGATTTAAAATTTGCTCCCGAATGTTTAGTTTTACGTCATATTATGAATATTTCAACCATGCGTGTATCCAACCAAATTCTGATCTTGCGATGTTTGCTGTGTTTGTGGTCGGGGATTCCCCGTTTATCCTCCGCAGTACACTTCTCTCTTTCCACTAATCTCGTCCCTTCCATTCCATTCGAAACTCGTTAAAACAGTCGCTTGCGAGTTTTTGTGTAAAATAATACGTTTTCAGTGTTTTAATTATGGAAAGTGGCATCAAAAGCGGTAGCAAAAGTGGAAATTGTGCTGATTTAATTCCTGCTGAGGATATGTTGTTGAGATGAAATGCCAAGGATGAAGATAGAACTAATAGTAATATTCACGAACTCATAAACTTATAAGAGTAGCAAATTTTGCCTTAACGGGTGTTGATTTTATTTACTACTAGCTGACCCGGCGAACTTCGTACCGCCTTAGCGTAGCTTTGATGCACTACTTTATTTTGCATAGCTGACCTATCTTATGTATGAGTACCTATTCAATTTGAACCGTCATTTTGTCAGCGCGGTTATCGATGTGGTGTCACAGATTACCACAGATTGTTTGTTTTAAATTGAATGACGTTGACATTCATTACGTTATATTTTTCAATCTTTCTGAGAGATTTTCTTTATATTTTTTTCCGTAAGAACCTTGTACAGAGTATTAGAAAACTACAAAAAAAAAAACAGTCAAATCGGTCAAGCCGTTTTCATGTTATGACAACGGAAAACAGGTTTCATTTTTATATTAATAGATTATATGTTACATAAAAAATAATGAAAGTGTACTATATTTTTATTATAAATACTATCCTTTTCATTTTTTTGTGCTATCTTTTTCAACGTACCTAAATCCAACCCTGATCACCGCGTACCGTGAACAGCGCTCAGTCTTATGTGGATGTGTACCGCGCGCATACGCCTCGCCCGCTCACACTCGCGTCTGCACATACGCGCACCTCGAACTTATAATCACAATTATTGATAACGCATCGATTACGGTTCGAGTGGATTGTTTTCAAAAAAAAGCTTTGACCAAAACATTTCAATGATAATGTTGCGTTTGAAGTGTAAACGTGATGTGGTCCCACGACAAATTTCTGGTGCCAGTGCTCCGTGAGGTATTATTTATGTGGTGATCTGGTGGAGTGTGTCTGTGTATATTGCTAGTGCTAAAAAGTGGTTGTTATCGAAGCAGGTGGATTCAAGGATTGGGATGTTGGCTCGCAAGGAGGATAACGTAGCGCCTCTTAACTACAAGGTACACAATTTTTGACGTTAATTATTTTTTATAGATTTATTTTCTTTTGGGAATCACTCTTCACTCTACGGACACGTGACTTAAGAATAATCTATGACGATATCGTATGAAACACTGCAGTTATCCGAGTATGGGAGACGATAGCTCATAGTGCAGGATGCATTTCTCCAATAGCACTTGATTTGGCGAAGTTATCGGTCACGACGCCAGCACGCGACCACCGCGCTTGCGATGTCGACGTTTACTCGCTCCGGTTCGAGCCAGTTTTAAGGTTATGCAAATTGACATTGATTCGGCTAAACCGAGGAGGTGTGGCGGGATGTTTGCACTGATAGGATCACGATCTCCGCGAATATAATCGGAGGCGTGGTGTTAACTTAATGTCTCTTTATAGTTCGAGATTTTGTTAACAATTTTTATCACCGCAGTTTTAAGCCCAGTCATGACATCGTTTTGTTTAAATAAAGCGTCACACAAATCACTTCGGAAGACAAAAGCAAACGATATAGATAACAGTATTATAAACTATATTTACAATGCTCGCGGTGTTTTCATTTCTTTGTGTAAGAAATTGTTTTAGTCGTGTATGCGATAATCATATTAATTTATCAGGAACTTACGATAACTATTAAAATTAATGTAATTACAGATAGTTATCATTTTATTATTTTTCCTAATTAATCATTAATTGAAGTAATGATAGCTTCAATTAGTTAATGTTAATGCATTGCATAAATGCTACACATAATATTGTAATCCTAATATAGGCTTATTAAGAGTTAATTTCCGTTTCGCTTCTTTCAATTGAACTGAATTCATTTTCAATTAATTCATTCAGTGTACGGTGCCACCCGTTAAAAGCCTTACCTAATTCCTTAAAACCATGAGGACATTCTGAAATATGCGTGAAGCTCCACCATTCTCTGCGCGTACACATGTTTGTTTAGCTGTGTGTGCGTGTTTGTCCTGTAGGTTTGCACAGTTGTAACAATTGTATTGCTGATATGTATTCGACATCGTTTACTGAAGCAACACCGTAAATAATGTTGCGGTAAATAATGAAGCTGAGTTACAAAAGTCCTATGAATATACTGCCCATAAATTTTTTTCGTGTAGATTGTGAGGGTCTTGTAACTATAGTTCTGGTTTTTCTGATAATTATACTAAGCGATATATATTTTCTTCTTGAAAATTATATCTTGCTTTAGGACTGGAAATAGTATACTAAGGACTAAATCATTTTTGTATTTAGTAAACTTATTTTTGTAATATGATCTTCATGTTATAGCTTCGCTTACTTTTTTTTATAATAAAATGCTTGTATCAGATAAGTATATTGACCACATTTTAATGGCAACATCCACATAAACTTTATAAAAATCATTCAAAGTTCACCAAATAAAATTATTAAAAATTTGTTAAGTTTGGAAAATCCCCTGTACGATCGCGTCGTTTAGATATTCAATTTGAAATTAATGACTTATCTTAATTCTTATTTCATCACTTTCGTATATAATGATAAACACATTAACTTTACTCGATATATCTAGTAATAAGTTATCCATTAAGCTTTCGATAACAGTAGCGATATGTAAGCGATTAACGAACTCTGCAATCTTTATCATTTCTCGTATTTGACAGTTATAATCTTTTAGTTGATTGATGTAATACGTTTTATGATATATGTATACTTTAAAGAACTTAACATTATTTATTGTGATCTGCATTTAGTTCTCATATCTGTATTGAATAGAAATCTGATAAATATTTTCCAGATAAATACTACGTTTTGATTTAGGTGAAATAAGGGTCCGTTCAAGTATTACGTAAGCAGATTTATTACAATTATTTACCCCCTCCTCCCCCTTGTCAGCAAAAGTAAGCAAAGCTCTTACCACTCCCCCCCATCCTTACGTAAACATTGGTACCTACATGCATTTTTCCCTTAATGTATTCTGTTTTTTGTTGATTCATGAGATTTCATGAGCTTCATGAGCAGCAGTACTTAAAAAGGCATAATCGATGATGCTGACGTAATCACCATCTCGACCCCCCACCCCCCATGTCATCAAAAATAAGCAAAGCAAAGATTCCCTGTTCCCCTATAGTGCTTACGTAATACTTGAACAGCCCCTCCTCCCCCATATAATATTTTATTGTATTCGAAAATGGCACAACTGATTTCCATAAGTTAGTGTTCATTGTACTTGCACAAAAAATGACGTATTGTGTGTCTGCTTCATAATAATAACAGTAGGCAAATGTCACATGCGTGTACACATGATTTTACACGTGTCTGAAATTACAGCCAATGGCTTAACGTGCCACCCGAAGCACGGAGAAACTAGAGATAGTAAATTTTTGGTCACCCATCCAATGACCGACCACTGCGAAGTTGCTTAACTTCAACGATCGCAGCCAAACGCGCTAACCACTTGTGCCATTGAACTCCTCAACTCTTGTGACATCAGTTGTTAGTAAAAGTGACTCAGAAGACCCAAAATATTGAAATTCTTTCGTAGGTACTTTATTTTGATCCGACTGATTTCCGTTCGATCACGATTGTAGCTTTTCAATGGGGAATATTGATTTCATTATGTTATAAATAAACTCATGAGAAAATGCTTACAAATCGTTTAAAATATTAATAATTTCCAAACCAATAATATAGTAGACTTTATGCCTAATAGATATTCACAGCCACTCGGCCATTGTGTGCATTGTGATAGAAAGCTTAAGGAAGAACTGTGTGAATCAAATTATGCATAAAACTGGATTATAGCATACTCATAGTGTAACCGGAAAAACGTGTGAATTTATCTATGTAGCATAATATCAGTAGAATGGCGCGTATTGATAGCACTAGAATATCTTCTATAAAGCGGGGCTATCTGCCGTGATCCCAGACCGGGTGGTATCGCCGGATAACATGTTGTTTACTCCCGAGCAAATCAACTGGACACTTTAACAGTTTTTTCATAATATATTTAATTATATTCTACAATAGCTCCGTCTGAATATAAAAATATTTTGCTGTTAATTCTAAATTGAATGTTTTTTTTTATATTTTAAAGTTCACAATAAATGGAGTACCTCAAGGACCTCATACAGGACCAACTATCTTTACAAAATGGAGTATTTTTATTCTCTGCTTATGATTGGATATATCATGTTCCTCTATTGGGGCTTACATAAATTTATTTAATGAAACACTATAACAATAAAAAATATATCAAATAGCTCGTCGCTGTTTAATTTCACAACTAAATCACCAATATAGCTCGTTCTGTTCTCTGGAGACTCATGATTCTAAAATAATTTCAAAGAACAAACATTTAAAAAGGAAACGAGAAAACGAACTCGCTAATTGCCGGGTTAAACTATATACTCAATAAGAGATATATAAGTAATTAATAATTATCTTTATCAGTGTTCGAGATGGTAATAACATCGAAACCTCGTGATAGAAGTACTTAGCGGTAATCTTGCCGTCTGTGCCGGCGGGGTATCGCTTTGACCCGCCGACCCCACCGACCCCGCCGACCCGCGCTCTGATAACCCCGCCGCTTACGCCGAGCACATGGTGTCCGTTCGGTCACTCGCACGCACTTAATCTACAATCCTCTTAAAGGTGCTGTCCCACGATCTGTGTTTTCGCTGGCGAGTAAGAGAACTCGAACATTCGAGATTTAGCAGTTTAGATTGTTATTTAAAAAATGGCTGTCCGTGAACACTTGAAAAAATTTGTTCTTATTCAGTAGAATTTATAGTGAATAAATAAATTTCTCCTTTGATGTCACTGATTTTTCGTACAAAGAAACAATATAGAACATAAATCGGTGCAGTAAATTGATCACTCCTTAACGAACCGTCGGCTTACGTATGTCGTAATCTATACTTATAATAAATCTGTAGAGAGGTCAATTCTGTACATGAAATATATTTTCAAAATAACTATCAGGGGGTGATTAGTGATCGATCCTGATGCCAAAAATGCAATCAGTAAAATTTTTGTCTGTCTGTCTGTCTGTCTGTCTGTGTGTATGTTCCTTATAGAAACAAAAACTACTCGACGGATTTTAACGAAACTTGGTACAATTATTCTTCATACTCCTGGGCAGGTTATAGTATACTTTTCATCACGCAACAATCAATAGCAGCAGAGTAGTGAAGGGAAATGTTGGGAAAACGGGAGAAGTTACTCCATTTTTTCAGCTTCCGTCGCGTGTGCAGCCTTAATGGTTAAAGTTACATAGAAATTATGTATGACGGAAATATTCTACATAAAATTGTCTAAAAAATATCCCGCAACAGCATATGTCTATCTTTTATGGTTGACTCACAATAACACGTGTAATTATATAAATAAAGTTATTGTTTATAGCAGCACAAGCCTGAGAACAAAAACTATAGTTTACACTACAGCTCTACACCGAAGCGAAGCGAGGGCGGGCCACTAGTATATAATATAATAGTTTGAATGTCGGCGGCGATTCCCCACAATAAAATACCGTACGACATTACACTAACCGCATTTCCCTGTATTAAAAAAAACAGAACACAATTTAAAGAAAAGATGACATCAGTATTTACTAATATAAACAGTAAGGTCAGCGTATATCAAATCAATATAGTTTAACAAGAAAAACACTTAAATGTCAAGTAAACAATTTTAAAATTGGACAGATTAAACTAATATGTAGGTATGCCGATGCGTTCTGTGTCAATAATTTTGTCGTCCGTCGCTTTTGATGTGAATTTTAAGATGTTCTTTTTATATTAAGCATTTTTTCTAAATTGCAATTTAACGAAATTATTATTTAATTTCGTAAAATGTGAAATTGACAATGATGTTTTGTCATTTCTCTATGAGTTGAATTGAGATTTAGCAAATTTGCTGCAAGTGGGCCTTAGACTTTAAATAGCAGGCTATATTTATTAATTTTTATGATTATAAAAATCCAAACGAGTATACTTTTCGTCGTGAATGTGCATTTAAA